AATATTATTTATTGATTAACTATGTTCTTTTAATATTCAGGATATTACACAATGTTAAGGTAAGTCAAGCAAATTAGTTTAGGTTCAGATGGTTGATTTTATAGCATCAGCTTTTGTTGGGCTGTTTAATGTTGGATTTTTTATGGGGTACTCACTGAGGATTGAACCCACAACTCAGCAGTAATAGTCAATCAATCTAGCCTCTTTAACCATTATCCCATGCTGAGATGCCTGTAGAAATGGGTTTGCTAATAACATAAGAAATTATAATATATCTTTGATCTAATAGAGGAACTGTAGCAATCTAAAAAATCTTACATGTCAAATTCTCCAAGCCCTTTTATCCTCAGTTGTCAATCATGACGTGGGCAATGATGGCTCTCCACAACTTCTTTTCCTTTGTTGCTCTTAACAATATTTGTCTCCTTACTATCCCTACCAGTTCTTGTTCTGCCTTCTTTTTACACAAACTCATTAAGTAGGATTATCACGGCTCTCCACGATTTCCTATCCACTGTAGCTCTTAGCAATGTTTGTTCCTTCATCATCCCTCCCAGACCCTGTTTCGACATCCTTTTACACAGGCTCATTAGGTAGGTTACTGTTTCCCACTTGTCTTCAATATGTCCTATGAATGTTAAAATTCTCCAAGCCCTCTTTCCTCAGGGAGCAATCATGGCTCTCCACAATTTCCTATTCTTCATACCTCTAAGCAATGTTTGCCATCATCCCTCCTGTTCCCAATATGGAAACATTTCAAACCTCATCAGGAGTATAACAAAGATGAAATGAGAGCTCCAGTCTATTTAATCTCTTCCTAAACTATGTTGCTGCACATTTAAAGAGATGGGCATTGATCATTTAAAAATTTCATACTACATTCCAAATGAATCTACTAATAAAAGATGACAATCTAGCTTTCCTTCCCGAAGTCAATATACTGATGATGAGAAGGGTTAAGCTAAACAATAAAAGAACAAGAATTAAGAAAACAGAAGACATTGCATTTAAATTTTTAAAGATCAAAGTTGACTGGGAAATAAAAAGCTGGAAGAGAGTTCCACAGGCGAGAAGTGTGACAGAAGAAACTGTTAGTGTAAAACTTATGGTTACCTGTAGCCAGATCAACTGTAAAACGGTGAGGTCTTGCCACCACTCAAGTACTACACATAAATTCATAACATCTAGGTACCATAGAGGAAATTAATATTTATTTTGAAAATACAAAATTGTGGTACAACGCCAAAAGAGGGGGGTAGAAGAAGGCTTGTCTTCAATCTGTCTTATCTTAAACTTATCTAGCCACAATTACTGACCAAAACATACCAGAGTATTTTTTATAACAAAACAACACATTCTAGCTTACTATTTTTACTGCAGTCACCATAATACCTCTAAGTCTCTATGTAGTCCTAACTAGTTCCCATATGTACAATTTGTCTGTCAGGGAAATAAACTTAAAAAAGAAAAAACACCATAGAGGAAAGTTCATCAGAACAATTAACCTGAAAGTATTTATATAAAAGGCACAGGGAAGCTACATTACGGTGATGGGAAAATGACAGAAGCTAGGTCAAGACCAATAACATTGCAATTCCTTTTTTACTATTTTATCGAGGATCTCTTAAATGTATATCAGAAGCACTAGACCAGATGTGGAAGCAATATTCAAAGCAAGGACGAATGGTTGACTTATAAATATGTAATCAATTGATTCAATATAATCTTTTCACTTGGAAAACATTAACCAAAGAAGGTATAATAACTCTCCTTCTGAAGGGTTCAGAACTGCATCTCTCTCATATAGAGGCAACCACTGTATAGCTCAGCATGCTTTTTAGATTACTCAGCCATGAAGGACTTCAAAGTGAAGCAAAACTCAGTTTCAATTATGAAGGAAAGCATTAAAATCTTTCAAAGCTTATATTTGCTAACTTTATTTTCATATCTGAAACAAAGTAAATTCTAATGAATAGTTTTTTTTATTTTTTTTATCTGAGATTAATTCTCATTACAATAAACATTTATAGTGGTCACAGCCTGTCCCCCAGGCATAAGTGACATAAGATCGCCTGCGCTGTACACAGGAGACTCAGTCTGTGCATATTGGGTTGTGTCTCACGTGACTGAAAATCTGTGTAGTGACCTTGCTAGATGCCATAAAAAGACAGCTTTTGTTAACACTCTAGGAGTGACTTGAAGAGATACTGCTGGTTTGACAGAAGCAAATTTCAATAACTCACCTACACATATCTACAAGCTATTTCAGCAATATCGAAAACTATATCAGAGGGAAAGTTTGATATCCACCTTATATCAAAATTTGATGGTTCAGCATCTGGGACAAAACTGGTTGAATGGATAGGCAAGGTGGAATTCATTTGCTGGATGTGTGAAGTGAAGTAGTAGCCAGAACATGTGATTCCTCTAAGACTGGGGAATCTGTTCTTGTGTACTTGGTAAAACTATGCAAATTGGCTGTATTGTTCAGGGGTATTAGCGACCGTGTCTTGACATATGCTTTTGTCAAGGGGCTGCCAAATCCCATGAAATGGCTCCTTCACGTTTCTTCTCAGATGGAGATATTGACCATCAAACAGATGCTCGCTCATGCTTGAGCGATAATGAAAGACAAGAACCCAGACAAAACTTGACAGTAAAAGCAGCATGAAAGATACACCAAAGAACTATACAACTGTTGTGGATTCCGTGAATGGAATCCTGCACAAATAAATAAACAACGCCAGTAATTGAGATAGAAAAATAAGTGTATTAAATGTAAGAATAGAGACTTGAAGTGAAGATTAGTATGTGGGTTAGTAGAAAGTATATGTACAAGCCTGTAAGTAAAGCCATAATCATCTCTCTCTCTCTCAGGACTCTTGTATAACTCTCTGAGAACACCCTGTGCCTGTATCTCTCAACCTGTCTCAATGTATCTCAACAGCAGGTAATCTCTCTGTCAGCATAGGTATACTTTGGATGAGTCCATCTTATGTAAAAAGGGGAGAGCCCCACAACAACAACCTACTCACAGGGGTTTTAATGACATTATTTATCGTCGATGCAGTGGCCTTAATCACTTTGCCAAACATTGTAAAAGTCTACTCAGTAGAGGTGGGAAGCCTTATATTCATTGTTACAACTGCAATAAAATAGGCTACATATCCAAAGATTGTCCATAGAAATAAGGCCAGGGGATAGCAACTCAGTGCTGGTTTTCTTTCCCAGTCTAGATGTTAACTCGGCGCTGCCATTGATAGAAATTAATGTGTGTGGTAGGTAGTGTATCGTGTTAGTGGAGTCCAATTGCTCCTGCACCAAAGAGAGCATGAAATTGTGCCAAATGTGGAAGAAACACAGAATTTACATCATAACTATCAGCAGAAGAACATGAATGTCCAAGTTGGGTCTGTCAGCCTTCATGTGGCAAATGAAAAGCCTGTTGTGATGGATGCTCTGGTAGTGCTAAAGGACCTTCTTGGATTTGATCTCCTAATTGGAATAGACAAGATCAAGGCTCTTGGTGGAATGTCTATTCTTAAATCAGGGGAGGTTTGATTCACCCAAGAGCCAGTTTCTGTGTGTGTGGTAGCATGAGTACTCTCAATTGAAGAACCTGATTTTCAGGTGGAATTTGATCAGCAGCAGAATGAATGGACTGTGTCCTGGAAATGGGCAGAAGGCAAAACACCAGGCAAGTTACAAAACCACATTGCAGAGTATTCTGTGCTGACAAAAATCAGAGGATCATACAAGAGGGAATTGCAACTATGGATTGAGAAGGGTTGGCTTATTCCATATGATGAGAAGAACCTTGAACCCTCGAAAGAGCTATTTCTGTTGATGGCTGTCATGCAGCAAAACACGTAAAAAATGTGTCCCATAATGGACCACAGGGAACTCGAGCTCCATGTTGAGGCATACACTGCAGATAATGATGTTTGCACCAGCAGACACAAAACAATGAATATCACACTGCCAGAACCAAGATCAGTCTATCTGCAGTTGCTCATTAATGAACAACTTTAGTCATACCAAATTGTTATCTTTCAAAGCAGAAGGTGCTGCCTGAGAAGAGCGGGATTTGAGCTGAACATTGCCCCCCAAATAATGAGATCCATTGTCAATGTTGTGATATCTCAGTATAAAAAAATCAGAGAGGCAACCTCAGTGTATATTGATGACCTGTACATAAATGAGGATACTGTGTGTGCAACTAGTGTCACTGAACACCTGTTAAGCATAATTCCAAAGAGATAACACAGTAGAGCTTGGATATTTGGCTGAACTCTCTGGGGAGAAGATAACGTTCTGCTTCGGAAGCATGGGAATGTGCTTCCTGAAGTCCCAGAGGGGATCATCAGTAGGAAAGTATTCTCTTTTTGTTGGACACCTCCCAGTCTGTAGATGACTGTGAGTAGTGATTTGTGTCATTAAGCAAAGTGCAAGCACAGTGACGAAAGGTCGGGATGGTCGAACTGATGATACCTCACTAAAAAGAATGCTGACAGAGACTATTACCAGAGTGAGGCAAAGTGAACCATGTAGAGGTGAGTGGTGCATTGATAGCAAAGAACTTGATGCGTGGGTTGACACAAGTTCTTTAGCCACTAGAATCTTGCTTGAATCACATGGGTCTGTTATAGAAGATGCATGTTGGTTGCGGCCAGAGTTGGACACACAACACATTAACCTTGTGGAATTAGATGATGTTATAAATGGGGTAAACCTGGGAAGCTAAGATTGTACATTGTCTGAGCAGGGCATGTACAAGAATGAGGATGTTTGTCAGTCCAAAAACGGTTTACATGGATGGAATACCATGCCATATGAGAAACCTCTAACTTTTCTCTCACATGCTGAGCAGTTCTGTGGAAGACGAAAGCACCACATTGAGTAATAATGAGATATACATACCTCTAACAAAGGACAACCATTCAACTGATGTTGACTCTAACCAATTGAGTGATAGTGGCTACAATGTAGGCGAGCAGATCATGACAGAGCCACCTCAAGAAGCAAGTGAGCCTGCCAAATTGATTATTCAAAGCAGCAGCAGATGTAAAAAGCTTACCTCCCATCTTTGTGATAGTGAGATCAGGATGGGTATAGTGGACACAGCCTGTACATATGGCATAAGCTCGTCTGGGCTGTGCTCAGGAAACTAAATCTGTGTGGACTGAGTGATGTCTCAAGTGACCATAAATCTGTGTAGCCATCTCACTAGATACCATAAAAAGCCAGCCTTTGTTAACACCAGGGGAGCGACTTCTAGGGACTGCGTCGGAGTGACAGGCACAAGTTTTGATACATCAGCCTCATATACTTACAACATTACATTTAGCGATTTACTAAGTGTAGCTTAGAAGTGGTACAGTTATGGAGCAAGCAGTGAGGACTGAAGTTCCTACTAAGTTGGAATGATCTAGTGAGACAAGCCTACTAACCATTACACCCATGAAAATGTTATAATTAGTAGATACACATGTTTCAGTCAACATCTTTTTATTTATATATATATATATATATACACAGAGTATGATGGGTAAATTGTTGCCATTTTATAATTTCAATTTCACACATGTATGTTGTTTTTGATTTTGTTGACCACACAGTATAGTAGGGTCAGTTGGGCACTGTCTGTGAGAAAAACAGCACCATGACGCAATTCATTCAGCCAGAAATTTTGAAATGGCATGCTGTACTGCTTTGCATTTGTACAGGAAGCTCCAATATAAACATTTCAGAGTGTTTGGGTGTCAATCTGAGAACAGTCCAGAGGATTCAGAAAGAGTTGGATGAGTCTAATGGTGATTACAAAGGTATGGGAGCCTGGAAACCTTACACTGATCGTTCTGATAAGAAAAGAACTCCTGAATTTGTTAGTGAGGACCTCAGACTCAACAGGGAAACTTACATCAAGTGCCTTGAGGAGGTAGTACTGCCAATAGTCAAGAGGGTGGCTGCTGGAAGAACATGTCTGGCAACAAGATTCTGAACCATGCCACACAAGCAGGAGAACACAGTCTGTGACCCCATCACTCCTTACATCTGGCCACCTAATTTCCCAGACTGCAACCCCGTTGATTATGATGTGTGGAGTACAATTGAGTGAGAGAATAAAAAAAACTCCTTGTAACACCAAAGATGAACTGACAGCAAAGATTATGGCAGCATTCACCAGCTTAAACAAGGAAACCATCCAGAACAATTGCAGGAGATTCTGAAGTCATCTGGAGGCTGTGGTTGAAGCCAATGGTGATTTTATTGAATAAATTTATTCTTTGGTATTTCAATATATTTTTGTGTGATTTTAGTAAATATATCTGTTATAATGAGATATCAGTGATATTTTTAGTTTTATAACAATTTATATATTGCAACCTGTGTGTGTGTGTGTGTGTCTATATATATATATATATATATATATATATATATATATATATATATATATATGTGTGTGTGTGTGTGTGTGTGTGTACAATCTTCATTAAAATGAATGATGAACTACTGTGGTTAAGGTTTTATTTAATTTTTCATGTATTCTTATAATTTTCTTATTTTCTAGATGTAAATTATATAGAAATTGTCCAAATGTTTTGTATGTCCAAGTGCTTTTGGCTATAGTTTTTAGTTTTAGCCATTATCATGATGAATTTTATTTTTACATTTAACTGAATGTATTTCAGGGTTGTGTTATGTATGTATCTAGAGTTATACGAATGTTTTATTTTTTAAAAAACATTAAAATTGTTAACCTCATTGTCAAAAATAATAATTCACCTGCAAGATCCAAATTACAGAAAACCAATATTATTTACAAATTTATATATCCCTTAAGGAATGGTATTCCTGATCAATCCAAATTTGTAAATAATTATAATGGATATACTGCAACAAGTCTGGCAAGAAGACTCACGTTAGATCTCTTTAACCATAGCTCAATTAAGTCTCATTTAAATATACATGGAGACCTACTAAACTCTATCCACAATATACTTGTTGATAATATAATAGCCTCATTTACATGTGAAAAAAAAAAGGCTAAAAATAATGGAAGCATTATTAATAAAAAAGTAAAAGCCAACACTCTTTAGATACATACATAAAACAATCCATACTTTCAGTTAAAAGTAAAAATAAAATCATCCTTGATAACAGCTCAAAGTATGGCCGAAAGTGCTTGGACATACCGAACATTCGGACAATTTCTACATAATTTTTATATCCAGAAAGAAGTGCCTGAAAATGATATCACAGGTTGACCCAAGCCTTGTGAGTGAAACTGGGTAGACAGAACCCTTGGTGGTCATTGATAGCTATGCTAGCATGAAGTCACATGTCATCGTGACTGAAGGTTCGAGTGTGCTGGCCTTGTTCAGATTGTTGATCATGCTAGATAATACGCTCTCTCCCAGAAGCTGTAACTAAGGTCTGCTCAGCATAGTTGCAGTATAAACCACAGGTGGGCTCTGGGGGTGTTGAATAAACACAAATGTGCCAAGCAGGCATCTGCAATAGGGATTGGTTAGCCACCCTAGTAGACGGGTATCCTTGAATACAAGTGGCCAACTACTATATATATATATATATATATATATATATATATTCAAACACACAATAGCCAGCTACTTGATTTCTGAGTACACTCATTTACTAGGTTTACTTACTAATCCCTGTTGCAGATGCCTGCTTTAGCACATTTGCACTTGTTTGGCACCAACAGGGTCCACCCATATTTCATTCTAAAACTATGCTGAGCAGACCTTAATTTATGGTTTGATCAGCAGTTTGAACAAGGCCAGTACACTCAAACCCTCAGTCACGATGACTTGTGACTTTGTGCTAGCACAAGCATAGATAGCTTACAAACAGTTCTTTCTATCCAATCTTATTAAGCAGGCTTGGGTCAATGCATGGTAGGATCTACAGGTACTTGTGCCACATGCCAGGATTGCTTCCCCAAACTGCTAACATCAACAAATCACCTTACTGGAAAATCAAGCATGGTAAGATTTTAATCCGAAACATTGTCAGAATGCAAATGTTCTAACCACTCAGCCACATGCATACATACATGTTTTATTTAATAAAGTACTTTTGTTCAGTTTTTTTATTATTTTATCAACTGTTATATGATCTACCGCAGCACTTACATAACATTTATTGTAGTATTATAACAAAAAATAATACTTGAAAATAGCTAACAGTTTTAGCTGAAAGTGCTCAGAACCAACACATTTTGGGCTCAATAAGTCCAGAAAAGAGAACAAATGTACATATAAAAGAAAAAAAGATTAAAAAAACTGAACAAAATATCCCTTGTCAGTCTTGTTCAATGAAACATGTATTAAAGATGGATTGCTACTAAAAGACACAAATATATATAGATAGATATATAAGTTTGATTAAAGGCTACAAATGAAGAATATATTACTGTTTTTGCTTTGATAGTAAATATAGGTCAGTGGATAGTAGATAAAAGAATCATCTATAAGTTTCTGACCAGGAACTGTTTTTGATCCTTAATTATTAAGGTCTTGGTCGATATCACAAAAGTCTGAAAATTGTTAGCTGAAAGTGCACAGTCATAAACTTATAGACACTGTGAACTAAAGGGAATTCATCAAAAGAAAAACAGAATGATTAATTAAAAGTAGAAAAAAAAGTGAAGATTTTTGGATTCTGACTTTTAGCAGAATTCCTATTAACCCATTAATGGCTGCCAAAAAATCTGGTATTAATTATAAAAAATGAAATGGCTTACGGATATAGAGCAGTAAAACATTGGTTCTCAAAGTTAAGCAACATTGAGTCTGGTCAGTACCAAGATGGGTGACTGTTTACGAATACCAGGTACTGAAAGCATAGATGTGCACCGAGTTTATTGGATAATGACTTGGAATTGTAAAGCAGAAAGCCAAGTTCCAATTACCGTTGTTTTGATTATATTCCCTTATGTGCAAATACCATTGGGAAGGGCATGAATCCACCTTTTCTCCCCACAGCTATGTGTTAATTAGTAAAACTTGTATCACAAATCATTATTATCTCCAAAAACAAAAAAAAAATTCTTACAATCTAAAAATATTTTCTGGCTTTAAATAAATAATAATTAATAAAGTGTTGATAAGCCATAGAAAACAAATCAGTCAATAAACATAAAATAAAAATTTAGTATTACTTATATGTTTCTAAAACACATGATATAAGGTTCCGAAAAAAATATTTGGTCTATTTTTTTATTCTATAACACATTAATGTCCACCATAGGCTGAATTTATACTTGAATCAAAAAAGCAGACATGGGCTCATTTAAAACCCAAGTCAAAAAGGCAGATATGGCTCACTTTAAACTATAGTCAAAAAGGTAGACATGGGCCCAATTTATACTAGAATAAAAAAAAGGCAGAGATGTGTTCAATTTACACCAGGGTCAAAAATTGAAAGCTTAACTTAGAATAAAAAAAAATTGGACACAAATCTGTCTGTCTCTTCATATTTATTGTTTTTTGTTAATATGTATCTATCTATCTATCTCAGCCTGTTCATTAACTATCTATCTCAGCCTGTTCATTAACTATCTATCTCAGCCTGTTCATTATCTATCTATCTCAGCCTGTTCATTATCTATCTATCTCAGCCTGTTCATTATCTATCTATCTATCTATCTCAGCCTGTTCATTATCTATCTATCTATCTATCTATCTCAGCCTGTTCATTATCTATCTATCTATCTATCTCTCAGCCTGTTCATTCTATCTATCTCAGCCTGTTCATATCTATCTATCTATCTATCTCAACCTGTTCATTATCTATCTATCTATCTATCTATCTCAGCCTGTTCATTATCTATCTATCATCTATCTCATCATTATCTATCTCTAGCCTGTTCATTATCTATCTATCTATCTCAGCCTCATATCTATCTATCTCAGTCTCAGCCTTTCATTATCTATCTATCTATCTCTCAGCCTGTTCATTATCTATCTATCTATCTCAGCCTGTTCATTATCTATCTATCTATCTCAGCCTGTTCATTATCTATCTATCTATCTATCTCAGCCTGTTCATTATCTATCTATCTATCTATCTATCTATCTCGGCCTGTTCATTATCTAACTATTTATGCCAGAATTGTTTCATGGAGAAGAAAGTGGATGAATGAACACTTGGACAAATACCCCATTCATACCCCCGCCCTTACCTGCTAATGCAGTACCAACGAGAGAAAAAAAAACTGTTACTCAAATAGCCAATCACATGGCTAGGGCCTCTGTTGGCTGCCAAGCATTCTCTTGCATTTGATGTGAAAAAGCATGCCTCTTGGTAGAGGCCTCATCAAATATCTGTAAGCCTGCAATTGGCATGTATCGTCCTTACAAAGTTTGGTAAAGCAGTAGTAATAAATGTGTGTATATATTTCATGAAAAATGACTGACAAGGTTTTCCTGTTAAGTTTTTGCATGTGTAGAAATTGTTGTTCATTCTGAGTTCTTTCAGCTAATTTATTAGCCATTATTAAGTATTTTGGTTCATCTACTGGGTTAGACCAGGTCAGGCTTAGCCCTGCTACTGGTAACATGTAAGCCAATACAACCTGCCGCATGGACAGGTGATTGACTTCTAAACCAGCTACCCTACTGGTTTTTCTGCTGGTGAGGAGGGTAGCATATCACTACACAAGACAAAAAATAAGATTTGGCAAAGGGTGGATAAGCTTCTTATGGGAGCTAATGGCCAACATATATATAGCTAGGATGGGGGCTCAAGCCTTGAATGGCAACCTTCCTACAGATGATGTCTTGATAAAAACACTTGTGTACTTTGACTACTGTTTTTGTCCGAGTTGGGTGTCAGGAAGAGCATCTGGCCTTGTAAAATTTCGCCGCAAATCATTATATACTTTGTCAGGCAAGACCCACCTTGCTTTGTGTGAGATTAATCTGAGTACAGCTCCAAGAAAAACCATGGCTATGTGTGTGTGCATATACTATTGTAAATGGTGTGTATGTGAT